GAAGCAAATCATTTGAATCCTTTATATTAGAGCTAATTTAGCCCTCATACTAAAAACTTTTACCCTTCCAGGGGACTCTACTTGATGCTACATGTATTGCAAAGGTCTTTTTCACTCTGAACATTTGCACCTTTTTCCCTCCCCCCCACTTCCTCCCTTTATCCTTGCTGCTGGGTTATCTAATGACAGAGGCATTTTCCCACCATCAAAGACAGAGGATGCAACAGACCACAGACACCTGGTGAGAGATCTCTGGGGGCCAACACTGAACTCGTTCAGCCTCCCCAGCAGATGGGTCAGGTGCGAGAGACTCACTCACCTGGGGGGAGTGGAGACCACCTCCTGGCGGGGTGGGCAACCTAGGGATAGTAGCCGCAAAGAGGGCCACCACTTCCGAGTCTCACCAGCGAGTCCGCACACGTGTGGTGGGGAAAGAAAATGGACACACTGTTTGATCCCATGATGGCCCATTTCACAACAGTCACTGGTGGCGATGGAAATTCTCTATGGAGGGAGAGGCAGGTGATGGGGAGGGAGGTGGGTGATGAAGAGGGAGGTGGGGGAAGGTGAGTGATGAGGGTGGCTGGGGGGGTGGTGACGGGAAGTGGGGGTAGGTGATAGGGAGGGAGGTGGGAGGTGGGTGATAAGGGGGGAGGCTGAGGAGAGGCAGATGATGGGGAGAGGGGTTGGGAAGGGAGGCTGGGGAGGGAAGCGGGTGATGGGGAAGGAGGCTGGAGGATTCTGGGGGCTGTGTAGCCGTCTTAATCTGGGCAAATGTTGGATGGTGCACAGGTATCTGCTCTCTTTTCTGTCATTCTTCAAGTTAATACATTTTAAACACATGCCCAAAGGCCTAGGTTGATCTCAGCCCTGTGCACAAACCATCTTCAAGAGCGTCTTTGAGGCTGCAGCGCCGGTGCATGATCGGAGACGTGGTAGATGTGCACAGCCGGAGACCTGACTGCAGAGAGGAAGGCGTCTCGTGGGGCTTAGAAAGAGAACAAGGCAGAACTGGCACGTGGGGGGTGATATTCAGGGGGGGAAACAGGCCTTGGGACCCAGTGCATCGGGTTGTAGTGCCTCATCCCTTGACA